AGGCCGCTTCCCCTGCCCCTGAGTCAGCCCTGCCCTGCACCCAGGCCTACACCAACCTGGACAAGCTTTGGGACGAGGAGAGCTGGGTAACTGCTTGGGCAGCATTTGCGACAGTCCTTGGGATGACCTCTGACGCCAACCTGCAGGACACCTACCTCATTTTCCCAGGGTCTCAATTCTCAGCCAGCTCTCCTCATCCTTCACCTCCCTCACCAACCGGCCCCAGAAATAAAAGGCCGTCTCCCGGGTCCCTTCCTTGCTGGATCTCCCGCTCTACCCCCTCCCCTTGTGAAGGGCCTCCTCCCAGGCAGTTTGGTGCGATTAGGAGTGACTTCTCCTTCTCACTTTGCTCTGTGTTCACTGGCGAGACGTTGGTCAGAAGCCACACTGTGGAGGTCTGGGTGCTTGGGGTTCTTATTTTATACCTGGAGGGAAAGTCCACCTGAGTAAATGCAAAGTTGTAAAACTTAGCACCATGGGATACCACCACACTCCAGCACCAGCAATTCTGCAGGATGAGCTGCAGGCATATATTTAGGCTGTGTGCATGTTCTGTCTGCAGCATAATGGCTTCTTAAAATTAAAGATATTCCTCATCAGAGAAATAGCACAGTAGTGACGCTTCCCCAATGGGCACAGCCAACTATTGGTAACAGACTCTAGAAGGCACCGGCGGTCCCTAGAGAATAAACAGGCTGCTGAGTGGAGAATAGGACCCCACCCAGTCGCACCAGCTCAGTGCTGATCCGTCTTTAGCAAGAACCACAACAAAAAGAACTAGCGGCAGCCTCCGGGCACTCCTGTTTCACGTGCGTTACATGCGTTTCCTCGTTTTTCTCTTTAAAAGACCATTTCGAGCTGTTAAAGGACAGAGTTCAACCAAGTAGATTTAAAGATCTAAATGGACTTTATGAAGCGATTCATGAATGGAGCAGCAACTAGAAGGGCGCTCAGCGGGGTTGTGCAAAATGGAAGGGTTTTATAGGGAGAGGGATGGGGCAGGGAGCTATTCACTCAAGAACAGAAAGGACTGTTTTTTAGACCACAGTATCTTTTGGGGGGTTTTACTATGCAGGCCCCCTCTTCTTTCCACAGGGCATGGAGAGGGCCTACATGACAGATTGCCTTACTGGTGTTGAGCAGAAAATTCCAGTCTCAGTAAGATTCTATTTCTGGGAGAGGATGAAACAGTTAGGTCAGCTATTAAACCAAGGCATATCAAGGACTCAAGCACCAATGATGCCATTTTGGGCTTGTGGCTTTTCTCTTTAACAGTGGAGTAGGTTTGTGGTGTGAGTACACAAAATATTCTTGCATTATTAATTATAGCATTCTTTGTATTACAACTATAAACCTACTTTTGCCTCCACACCTGTATATCTTTTATGTCTCCATTTTGCATATGAGAAAATGTTTAAATGTTAAAGTGCCCCGCTATTAAGTGATAGAGCAGAGATTCAAACCCACTCTTAATCCACATATTAATATTTTGTATTTGGTCCCCAGAACACCCTACACAGTGTTTGAGACCTAAAAGATGTGTTGATCCATTTGGGGGAATAAGTTAGGTATATAGTAGAAACAGCGAACAGCAAAAGTTACCCAGTGGCATCACCAACCACCCTATCTTTAATTTTTCCTATATTTGGACCAGTTATTTCCCATATTATTCCTTCATGCAACATTTACTGAGCATCTACTCTGTTCCAGGTACTGTGCTAAGTGGAGCACAGAAATAAACATGACGTAAACCCTATGTTTAAGTAGCTCCTATCTCAGTAAGAGATTCCCAAAGCTACAGAGGTGGTTTTTACATGATCTAACAACATGGCAAGGGGAGTGGCACTAGCAGATCACAAAGGGGATGGGTCAGGCAGGCTTCCTGGAGAAGGAGACATCTGAGCCCCGAGATAAAGGTATGAGCAGGAAGAGGAAGTGGGAGGAGAACAGGTAAGACTTTAACAGGCTGAGGGGGACAGTGTGAGCACAGGCAGGAAAGAGGGATGCTGGCGATTGCAAGCAGTTCCTTGTTGCTGATGCGAGAGATTGGGAGTGTCAGCCATCCTGGATAGAAAGCGGGGACCCAAGTGAGAACCTCCTGAGGCACCAGAGGAAGGAGATGTAGAAGAAATAGTAGAGATGTGGTGGGCAAAGGAGAGAAGAACCAGGAATTACTGTTCCATCACTGCCTGCAGAGATCATCACAACACAAAAGAGGTGTAGTTCACGTCCTTGAGTTCTCTGTTTCTCTCTGGATTTCTCCCATTTTCTCTTAAAACATGCAAACTAGACCCTCAACACTTTTCTGTACCTATTTCATGACAAATGTTACATTACATAGCCAGCAGATGGCGCTAAGTCTAAAGAAATATTTTGTCTACTAACCGTTTTTATTTTTAAATATATATATATTATTTTTTAATACATTTTATTGATTTTTTACAGAGAGGAAGGGAGAAGAGAGAGCGCAACATCTATGATGAGACAGAATCATTGATCAGCTGCCTCTTGCACGCCACACACTGGGGATCAAGCCTGCAACCCAGGCATGTGCCTTGACCAGGAATGGAACCATGGCCTCCTGGTTCATAGGTTGACACTCAACCACTGAGCCATGCCAGTTGGGCTCCCCTAATGGTTTTTAGTGGGATTTTCCTTTTATTTATTTTTAAATAATTTTTTTATAAGACAGTACATCCTTTCACTAAGTATGGGAATAAACAACTATATTTTAGCTTAAGATAGTTTTGCTTTTTATAACATTGTGAAGAGAGGCTGACAAAGTCCAACTGTTCATTTAAAATAGCTGGACTTGGCGAGAGTAATTCTATGGCCATGCACAGGGTGTACACACAATACCTTCACGGGTTGCATGTCTGGACTCCGCCGTTCCCAAAGGACTTTCCTCCCTCTGGGAGGGTCTGGACCTGCGAGGGAGGACGGGCCTTTCATGGCCACACCGGCACTCTCCTAGCAACAGCTACTGTGAGCGGTGAAAATGGTCACCTTTTAAAAAAATAAGAACACATTTCATTTGTATTTTTCCTATTTATTATAGAACCTGGGTGTTTGATAGACAAAAACTATCAACTACACAGATGTGCTTGGTTGCAAAAACAGAATTCTTATCATATGGGGGTTATAGTCCAGTATTCCTGCTTACTGACACAGGATAAAGGCAGGGCTGTTTGGAATTCAGAGATGACCCACCATGTAACCTGACATTCCTGGACTGGCTATTCAGCGAGTGGGGAGAGGGGGCACAGGGGTCTAACATTTGTGGAGTCCTTTCACACTCTTACTCATCCTCATAATGACCCTTCCAAGCAGGTCCTGTGAGTTCTGATCTACAGGTAAAAACACAAACAAAAACAAAACAGCTGCTCAAAGTTAAGAAACATGACCTAGCTTAGCACGGCACCTGGCATACAGCAAGCACTCAATACCTTTTGAATGGGTGGTAACACACCTAGGAAAGGAAGTGCCAGGATTCAAACTTGGACCCACCTGGTTACAAAGCCCATACTATTGCCATCACACACACTGCCTTGTGTGTGAGACTAGGCAGAACTGTTTTAAAATGGCTAAGAAGTATCATTGCCTAATGTACACATGGTTAATAAATCCAGGAACCTGTGGTTTCTACCTGAGAAAACTATTTCAATTTCAGGACATACACCTGGTAAAGGATGGGGGAAAAGAGAAAACACGCAGAGAATCTTCAAGGTTTCTTTTAATTTTTAAACATACATAGCACATGAAAATAACATAAATCCGTATTAACACATTATATCTACATGGGACATTTCATGAGTTAGTACAACTTGTTCCATTTCTTTGTTGTTGAATTCTGCCAACTTTAAAAAATGTTTCCTCTAAAAACACCATCCAATGTGTTACATTAATCCCATGAATGTTAGGTGTCTCTTTCTTCTTTCCCTCACACACCAAAACAAAATTGAAGGAGCTAAAATAAAACACGGCATCCTTTCCTAGCTGCTTTATATCCTCTATTAAAATATTTACAACTATAAAGTTGAAAAATAATTTTATTGGCTTTCTTGTATATAATCTCCTACCTGTGAGTTCATCTATGGAAGTCATTTTGTTACCTCAAATATAGAGGGCCAGGAACATAAGGGAATTACAAAAATTCCAAGATGTTAATTTAAAATAGATGTACACTAAAAATACTCTAGATGTGGCATATTTAATATACAGCAGTGTGTGTTTATGTTTGCATGTAGCATCAATATCTTCAAGATAACTACCCCTTTTCAAAGCATTATTGTTGGGTAGGTTTTATTTTAGGGAGAGAATTTATAAAACATCACCTTTCTCATTGCAAACCAAAAATAAACGAGGGCTTAAAATACGTTCTTACCAAAGAGGGTGACCAGGAAGAAAGATCATGTCCGATGAACTATGCCCTACAAGGTGACATGCCTTTGCCTCATTCAAGGTCTGGAATCTTAAAATCTCATTCGATAAATGTAACTGGATTTTCCTTGCCGATTATGTTTAACCCAAAAATCATGTCATGTACGATAGCAATGTTTATCTGGATATTAAAAGAAAAACCACTGGATTCTAAAGACAGATTGATAACTTGAACTTAGGCTGACAACTAATCAGTGAAAAAACACTTATCTGGTTGGATAAAGAAATTTGAGAAGTTCAAAACATTACAAAGTAAGCTGTTCTTTAAAAATACTTAACTTGAAATGATAGAGAGTTATTAAACACGATAAAGACCTTCCCTGAAGGCTAGTAAGAGCCAGAAACACCCTGAATAGGGGCCTGGTGAGAAGCCATGTCCTCCCAGAGGTCAGGAGTCGTGCTATCAGGACCGGAAGCGTCACTTCAGGAACAGCTTCCGCCGACCCAAGTGGTTTCGAGAGTCTGGCACCAGGATGTCCTGGTTCCAGAGAAAACCGGGAGCAGGTCACCCTGTTGGACCCCAAAGGGCACACGCACCTTTGATTTGTGAAACAACTGTCCACACACATTTCTAAATGTCAAGATGACCATCTGTCCACCTGGTATGAAAGAAATTATTGAGATGACAAGCTTAACAAGGCTGACATTCAATGGGAAACAAGGAAATAACTTGCCCTTTAATAATCAGAAACACTAGATCACTTTACTGTCTTCTTCTTGAGGGTCCCTTGTTCAAGATTGTGACCTTATTCATGTAAATATGCCGAAGGGATTGTGGTCGATGCACTTCTTTGGGCCACGGTGCCACGGGCAGCCGCCGCCTCAGGCCACCTTCAGCACTCGGTACATGCTGTTCTGGAACACCACGGTGAAGTAGGGCCGGGCGTCCTGGAGCAAGGTGCTGCACAGCGGAGGGTTCGCTGCATTGGAAGGGTCTTCCAAATCCCAGATCTCAAGCATGCTGCAGCCAGGCCTGGAGATGGGGCACAGCAAGCCACGTTAGCGCGGCATTCACACCCAGAGGAAGCAGAGACATCACGGCGCAGCTCCCACATGTGGAGGGACTAATTTTTCAATAAACTAAAGATTTTAAGGCACCATTTCAAAAAGCATAAGTTCAATAGAGATAAACATATGTTGCATTTTCACATTCCACTTAATATGTTACTGAATCTAATAGAGGATCCATATACGTTCAGAACTCTGTATTTAAAAATTCATTTTCAAAATAAATATAAATCAATATATTTTCTAAATGATATAACCGACCAAACATAAGGTCCATTAGTAGTGGAATGAGACATTTTTAAAAAGTTAATGTAATTCCTGATGAAACTCATATTCTTGAGCTTACGGTATGAAAACATGTAACACAAGATAGGAAAGGGAAGCTCTTATGCCAGGTTTGTTCCCCTCAACCCTTTCCCATTTTGGTGGCTCTATGAGTGAAGTGAATGAAGTAATATTTCTCACTAAAGAATATTTTTCTTAGTTTCTTGACTGTATTTATAATAGTGGTTTTGTAGGTTTTGCCTGCAAAAAACCAACATCTGGGCCTATTTAAATCCATTTCTACCAACTTTTTTCCTTAGTATCGGTCACACTGCCCTTTTTTTTTCTGATCTGATAAATTTTGGGTTAGAAACTGGACACTGGAGATTATAATTGGTCGCGATTCTGGACTCTGTTTTGTTTTGGGGATGACTGTCAATTTGTGGTCAATTAACTTGTCTGGGTCCCCAGTCGTGCACAGCAGCTATCTCTGCTCAGGATTTTCAGATTCTAGCTATCATTAATTTGTAAAAATTCTTCATATAAAGTTTATCTGTAAGTCCTTCATCAGGTATATACATTGCAACTGTTTTCTTCCAGTCTGTGACTTGCATTTTCATTTTCTTTTGAGGAAAAGATTTCAATTTTCATGTATACAATTTACTTCTATTTTATGGTTACTGCTCTATGTTCTAAGAAATCTTTATAATTTTAGCTTTTACATTTAGTTCTGCAATCTATATCAAGTTAATTTTTGTGTGTGGTACAGTGTGGGTCACGTACAGTTTTTCTTCTATACAAATATCCAGTTAGATCAGCAACATTTTTGAAAAGACTCCTTTTCATTCAAGTAAAAAATATTATTTTTCACATTTCTTTTGTTGTGTTTTCTTTGACCCCTAAGTTATCTACACATTTATTGCCTAGTTTCTATTATGTGCAGATTTACTGGGTATCTATTTATTAGTGATTTTAATGCAGCTCTGTACAATTTCATGCCCTTTAAGCCCACTGAGGCTACTTTCACAGCCCAGCATACCTTCCCTTTCCATGAACATTCCACGCCCCTTTAAGAGAACATGTGGTCTCCACGCCCCTTTAAGAGGACATGTGGTCTCCAGCTGTTCCCTTTCGTGGCCTACATATGCCAACCAGATCAGGGTATCTGATACTGTTTGTTGTTCAGATCTTTTATATCATTGCTGGTTTTTTACCTACTTTTCTCAGTAGAGAATGGAATGTTCACATTTCCAGCTATGATTGAAGATTTGTGGGGGGTTTTTCTTTTTGTTCTGCATATTTTTACCTTGTATTATTTGAAGCACTACTTAGATGTATATACATTTATAATTATGAATTTTTTTGTAAATTAATCCTTTTGTCATTATAAAATACCTATCTCTGTGATAAGCCTTGTTTTGAAGTCTACTTTGTTTTATAAAATTTCAGTTAATGTGATATGCACACACATGAACATTACGATGTTCCTGCTTATTTTGCGAGATGCCATTTCTCCCTAATATATTTACTAGATGTTAAAATGGTATATAAAAATAAGCTACTACAATTTCTGCACTTAGCTTTTCAACACTGTGATAGCTTAATTCCCAATTATCCATATTAGAAATGAAAATGTTCAATGTTGGGCTTAATACAACCAAGCACTTCTTAGGTCAAGGAGTCTTAAAAAAGCCTCAAGATAGTCAGTAAACATTTTTAATGTTATGATTTTTAGAGATTCAAAATTCATAAATTTAAATATTTTAATCAAAGTATTGTTATGTCCTTTTAAGCTATGTGAAATTTTTCTCATAATCATATAAATCCAATGTAATTTGGCTGTAGTAGCAAATTCTAATATCGCCTCGGCTTAAATTAAAACCTCTATTTCACACATCTAATAATAAAAATTATCATAAAAACTTGAAAAGTCTTTATGAAAAAACATTTAAGATAATACATTAAAATTTAAAAGCCAGGAAACTCAAATACCCTAATTTTTTGAAATTAAATTCTACTAAAATGATAATTTGTTTTCCTACAAGAAATAACTTTCAATAAAATATTTTAAAATTATTTTAGGATAAAAATTCTTAAAGATTCAGGACTACTTTAATAAAGTAAAACCACTGTTGCTTAAAAACATGTCATAGGATCATACTCACTTAGTTCTCACAACACACCACGCCTCTTCTAGAATGTAGTAATTCACATGTAACTGCAACAACTTATCCCTCACTTCTTTTGCAGATTTTCGACTATATACGCCATAAACTATTTTTGTCCGGGCCCTTTAAATTTAAAAACAGGTTCAAGAAATTGTAATGCATAGTAATAGAATGGAGTGAAGAAATTTCGCTAGCAAATTGAAATCTCAATGCTCATTGGGTGGGGCATATTTATATGGCCCCCAATAGCAAGAATTATTTGGGGGGTGGCAGTTTCCACGCCCCTTCTATTCCGCACATGCTAAAACGTACAGCCGTTTGAATCTTCCATGTACTGCTTGTTTATAAACCGGTTTAGGGTCTAGAGCAGGGGTGGGCAAACTTTTTGACTCAAGGGCCACAATGGGTTCTTAAACTGGACCGGAGGGCCGGAACAAAAGCATGGATGGAGTGTTTGTGTGAACTAATATAAATTCGAAGTAAACATCATTACATAAAAGGGTACCGTCTTTTTTTTTTTTTTTTAGTTTTATTCATTTCAAATGGGTTGGATCCGGCCCGCAGGCCGTAGTTTGCCCATGGCTGGTCTAGAGTCACAGAGGAGGATGATCATTCAGAATATTAAATTTTCTTTGTATAATTCATTAAATAATTACTCTGGCTCATGGAATACATTCTGATAGAGGCTAACTAGAGTGAAAACATAGATTTCAGTAGACAGTTTCATCTATTGGCAGCTCTGGAAAGCATAGGAGTTGAAGCTGAAGGTAGGGAACAGAACATTCATTCAGTGGGTGCTTAGGGTAGCAATCAGACAAAGTACCTTCACAGAAGGTTAGGAAGCAGGTATGCTCACCAAAACATGGTACACACATGGCTTAGCCCTACCTGGGAGTTTTCATGAAATTCTGAACACTTTGCCATTTACACATAAGATACTGCTTAGGAGTTCAAGCAAATGGGATGCCCAAACTCCACAGCCAGACATAAAACTTTAAATAATTTAAAACTATACCCTTAACAATAGGCCAAAAGCATATGCAAAGGAAAAGATTGCCCTGACAATTACTAGAATGATTAAAATGATTTCTGAAAGTCAGTCTCTTAAGAAAAACATAATTTTCAGATGTCAATAGAAACTTGAGGTCCCAAAACCACTTAGCAAAAGAACACACTGAACTTTCATAAAAGCATGTAATACAGCAAATTCCATGTACTTTCTCTGTTAAAAAGGCTCGTCACTGGCCCCCAGTAAGGCGGAGAAGGGTTTCTTAAATCAGGCGGAGGGCTGAGTCCAGAGCAGGGGCTGGAAGAGTGTGGCCAGCTCAGCTCCTGGAGGAGCTCCTGGAACGCGCGCACACACACGCACACGCACACACAGAGAGGCTAGTCATAAAGATGTGACACATTTTTCACTTTGTAAAAACTGGCTTTTGCTTGTGTCAGTTCCAGGGCCCATTGAGTCTGCTTTGGAGTCCAGAGGCACATGTCATCTCTGGACGGTCAGTGCACATTTTTGAATTTCCCGCCTGGACATGAGGATGAGAGCGTGTGTGTGCACGTGTACAAACTTTTCCCCAGTCCTGAGAGTCAGCACAAGTTGCAAGTGTGTCTGAACTATCCCACCCGCTGCCAACCTCAAGTCCGCGTCCTCGTAATGCGGGTGATTCACGATGGGGCGCAGCGTGGACAGCTTGACACTAGCCATGGTAGGCATGGCGCCCGCGAACACGGCATCTGAGAAAGAAGATTGCCTTCCTTAATGACAGGCCTTGAAGAAAACCACAAGTTACTCATCTATCACGTTTGAACCCAAATGAAGAACAAGAAGTACATTTAAACAATGACCACTGGCCCCATTCTCTCTCTTCATTATCAACTGACTGTCCACTGTAATAACAGTCAGACTTTAAGTGCCATCCTGGTGCCGGGAACTGTGCTAAACATTGCTACTGGGATCACACGGTTTAATTCACACAACTTTACACGGTGGGTTCTATGTGATTCTCAGTCTGTAGACGAGGAAGCTGAGACACAGCAAGGTTAAGCGACTTGCCCGAGACCACACAGCAGGGACGTGTCAGAGCCCCCTCCTCACCCCCTCACCACAGCTCCCGCGGCATCAGGCACTGTGCTAAGGTAGAAAGAATTGTGGGACTTCATATCTTGCTCCAACAATTTAACCAGTTAACTATCACGATTTTGAATTTAATTAAAAAGGCCTGCTGCTTGCATCTATAGACGCTTATGGCATGCAAATGGTCAAAATGCCAGGAACTGGTAGGCTCCAGGGCAAGTATTGTGGCTCATTTTTAGAAAAACTTTTGTGGGTTGTGAACTGTAGTTCTGAGGACCTATCAGAGGAAAGCCCTGCTTTCTCCCCGTGGATCAGCTGTAAATGTTCATAAGCAAGATGTCTTGGTTTCCATTTGGTGTTATAATGTACACACTTGCAGTAATGGCAGGTATAAACGTATAACCTTTTGTGTAACTCGGGATTCACCAAAGCCCGTTATCTGACTTCACTTCCAGTTTCGTCTCTTGGAGACAAAGGGACCAAACACTTACCTGCAGGTATTTCTGTATAATAAATCATTGTATAATTATGAAAAATATCATTTTTAATCAGCACAATAAAATCAGCAATAAGAACAGGTCTACTATAATTAACTAAACGTTTACTTTCAAATATAACCAAGCATTCTAAATATAATTTTGAATTGAAATCTCTTTATACGCCTTTGAAAATATTTAAGCCAACTGAAGTAGAAATGGGTATGAATTCTGGCAAGATTCATAATGAAAAGCTCCCGGGTTAGAGCCGAGGCTCCCAGGAGTGATTCTGTTTCCTGGGGACAGCGGCACCTGCTGGAGACGCGTGGCTGCACGCTGTGCGGGAGAGGGGCTGTGGGTGTCCAAGGGGAGAGGCTGACGCTAAACACTCTGCAAAGCACAGGACAGCCCCCAAGGGCAGCAGCGCCAGCCAAGGCTGAGGGGCCCTGGCTGGAGGGCCCCCCAGCCCAGGGACACCAGGAAGACACTACGTAGGTCGGTCCGGAAAAAGCTGGAACCACTGAGGAGAGACCATCAATGACAGAGAAAATAAGAACGTAACAGGGAAAGGAAAGGCTAGAATATTTTTCTTTAAATATACTGAAGTCTGCCCAGCTGGTGTGGCTCAATGCTTGAGCAACGACCTATGAATCATGAGGTCAAGTTCAATTCCCGATCAGGGCACATGCCCAAGTTGCTGGCTCGATCCCCAGTGTGGGGCATGCAGGAGGCAGTTAATCAATGATTCTCTTTCATCATGAATATTTCTATTCCTCTCTCCTCTCCCTTCCTATCTCTGAAATCAATAAAAACAATTTATTTATTTATTTAATGTTTTTATTGATTTCAGAGAGGATTTTCATTGTTTTACCCTTATTCTTTTTTAAAAATATGTTTTTATTGATTTGAGAGAGAGAGGATATCAATAATGAGAGAGAATCACTGATTGGCTGCCTCCTGAACATCCCCTGTTGGGGATCAAGCCTGCAACCCAGGCATGTGCCCTTGCCTGGAATGGAACCCGGGACCCTTCGATCCGCAGGCCGACTCACTATCCACAGCTAGGGCTAAAAACATTCTTTTAAAAAGTTACAGCACAAAGCAGTGAACAACCCTTAATTCCTGATGTTAATGAAAACTCTTTTGACCATTACCTCAGTGGGATTGAAAGAGGGCCCAAAATCACTTTTTGAAAAGCTATTCTTCAGTGAGTGCCGTAGCAGCCTGCTCAAAGTCTGTGTAGGTGTGAAAGACTGTATGTGTGGGTGCATTTCCACATGTGTGTGCATAAGACTTGCTCTGTATGTAACTAGCAGCCGCACACCTGCTCTGGTGCTGGATTTGATCCACTCGATCAGCTCCTCCTGAGGCAGGTTGTTAAATTCTCCCAGGATGCTCCACTGGCCGCGCAGGTTGACAAAGCCTTGGATCGACATGACGGTGAGGAGGCCAAAGACGACATTCTCAAAGCGAACTCTGTAAAAAAGCCAGCCAAAGAGCTGAAATGAGAGAAACCGTTTGTCATTCATTCTTCATTTTTAATTTATCTGTACAATTACAGTATTACAGATGTCTTCTCTTTCCCATTGACCACCTCCACTCTCCTCCTGCCTTAAATGAAGAGTGCTGTAGGGTAATAAATGCTCCCCTGGCTACTTAAACCAAAGGGGATTAGCACTTGATAATACTACGTACACTAATAACTTACAGAACTACTACCCCCTACTGTTAAAAACAGCAAGTATTTGGGATTACTGGGTCCAGTGACAAAATGAAGCTTTCTCTCTTCTGTAAAGAATGAAGGAAGGAACCCCGGATCCTTCCAGCACCGATTTACCCCCCGGGTTAAGGTCAGCAAATCCCCATTTGGAAGCATCCTGGAACTACGTGCTATAGCGTCTGCCTGCTTTTTATGGACATCCTGAGTGATGAGGGGAGACCCCGTGAGCACAGACATGTATATTCCTCTCAGGAAAAGCATCCGACATTCACAAGACGATCATGATCAAAACTAAATAAGGTGTTTCTAGAAGCACCTTGGTCTCAAAATTCCAGCTATTTTGTCTAGCACCTTGGCTACAGTAGCGGACACCTTCCCCAGGGACTCCCTGGACCAGGCAGCACAGCACCACAGCAATGACACTGCGTTACTCTCCTGTCCGAAGAGCAGCCAGGGCTGGTGCTGATGGGCCAAGAAACTCTTGCCCAGACCTGAACTCCACCCAAAGGGCTTTGTTTATGGGTAGGCCACTGACAGAGGGGAGAACACGCCTCATCGCGTTTCTTAGAAATATCAGCTGACGTCTAGGAACAATTTTCACAGCTACTTGGAGTTGCCTTTCTTACTCTATAGGGAAGCATGACCTAACGAAGGTAACACTAGTGTTTTGGGGGTTTGGGTTCCTCCGCAGCCATGGTAACGGCACCGCAGTTGCTAGTTATCATCACGCAGTCAGACGAGGATGGATGCCTTACCCGCCGCGAGCATATCAGGGAAGCCATCACACACATGTGAGGAGTCAGAAACAGCTTCAGCCTCATAATTAAAATGGCGAGGGCAGTAAATGCCAACAGCTGCAATGTGTGGAAAATTAGCTACAAAAACACAAAACCAAAACACGACAGTGTCACTTCATAGGTTTTTAAATTAATAAAGTATATTAAAACTAGTATGGTTCATTAGGACAAGGAACTTTCAACTTAGCAAGAAGTCTATTAATATTCATTCATTTATTCAACAAAGATGAACTGAATGCCTACTATATGCCAGGTACTGTTCTGGGTGTTGCAGATTCGATGGTGAACAAAACATCAGTGAGCAACTTCTGCCCTTGTGAGGTTTACGTTTTAGTAAAGAGAGACAGGAAACAAAGTAAAAATGAATCTATTATACAGTCTTTTAGGAAGTGGTGAGTGTGATGGAAGAGAACACGGAACAAGGGACAGAGACAGGGCGCACGGGGGGTTGTGAGGCCACAGGGGAGTGGCTGCAAGAGAAGTAGGTTGACCAGGCTGGGCCTCAGGGAAAAGGTAGTGGCTGGGCAAGGACCTGCACCAGGTGAGCAAGGGAGCCGGAGAGAGAGGAAAATGGGCAGCGCTGCACAAATCCACATGGCATTCAGAGGCAACAAACAGCACAGCAAAACATCAGTTACTTTAAAAGCAGTAGGATTATATAAATATATAAATACACTAGAGGCCCGGTGCAAGAATTTGTGCACTTGGGGGTGGGTAGTGTCCCTCAGCCCAACCTGTGCTCTCTCACAGTCTAGGAGCCCTTGGGGGATGTCCGGGGCGCGGGCCTAAGCCATCAGTCGGACATCCTTAGTGCTGCTGCAGACACAGGAGAGGCTCCTGCCACCGCCTTTGCACTAGTCAACCATGAGTCCAGCTTCTGAGCGGCGCTCCCCCTATGGGAGCACACTGACCACCAGAGGGCAGCTTCTGCTTTGAGCATCTGCTCCCTGGTGGTCAGTGTGCGTCATAGCGACTGGTTGTTCTGCCATTCAATTTGCATATTAGCCTTTTATTATATAGGATTATTATAAAGGATGTATTAATTAGTAGGACACCCCATTTTGATTAAGATGGAGTTCCACTAAGCAAAGGCTTCAAACAAAACTTTTCTAACAGACATATTCATTAAAATATTCACCGATTCTGCACTGGAAAAGTGGACAGAATTAATGCAACCAGAAGTAAATGGCAACTCAACAGTCATGTTCTAACAGTCAAACACATTAAGTATTAAAGGTAATGAGGTGTTTTTATCTATAAAATTGACAAAGAGTAAGTGGATAGTGTTAGAGAGGACGCCATGAAACGCAGTGAAGTAAACTGGTGCATTTTCCCGAAATTGAGCACAGTTTAGTCCCCAGAAGAGAGCCAGCCCCTCGACCTAACATCCCATCCCAGGAATGGACCTGACGGGAGTAACCAGAGCACAGAAACGCTTCTGCAAAGATGGTCACTGCAGTGAACTTTCGGCAGCAAAAACAGAAACAACCTAAGTGACCAAAAGAGAGGAATGAGTAACTAAATCACTGCACTCCCACCTGCGCAAAGCCACTAAAAGGTTACTTATCGGAGGATTACTGAATGGCATGGAAAGGTGTTCAGAGTGTAAAACTGTAAATGCAGAATGACATGGATTCTGTGTGTGTGCATGCCTGTGTATGTATATATACATAGTACTACATGCACATCCATGCATGGGGGGCAGGGGAATGATCTACAAGAATATATGTCTAAAAAGTTAACAGAGTTTGTTTCTGAACCATAATTTTTCTGTTTTTCAAAATATTTAAACATGTCATTTTTATAAGCAGAAATTTATAATTTATATTTAAAACAGAATTGCAAAACTCCACCCAGAGCTGTTTCTTTCCCTTTTTAAGTAAATATATTTAAAAATGAAATTTTTACTTAATTTTTTCCTAATTATGGGACCCAAAGTTGGACTGTGAAACATTTATTTCAAAATCAATCCTTTTTCATTATTTTTTTTTGTAAAATTCCTCTTTGGGCAGAACCAGGGGCCTGTGCGGAGGGAAGGGCAGAACACTGAGGAATAGTATGTCTCTAAAAAGAGGTGGGTTTAAGTACTGTCTGATAAAATATAAAGTGTGGATGTGCAGGAACAAGTAAAACTTTGAGGAATGTGACGTGGCCCATGTACATAAAAGCAGGCACACTAGGGGGCAGCAGAGTGACAGGCTACAGATGGAAGCTGCTCAACACCCTGGGCTCATGTCCTGGGTCCACAAGGCTGGCCACTAACTAACCTCTCTACACGGCAGTGTCTTTCATCTGTGAAACAGAAATAGTAACAGTACTTACCTCAACCGGTTGCTGTGAGAATGAAGTTGTGAATATATGTAAATCAGGAAGCGGTAAGTGCTGGCTGACTTTGAGAGCTCTGGAAATGGCCTGCTTGGGTTCAAGTGCAGGCCTTCCTACCAGCTAGCTGTTGCAAGTTACTTATTTCCCTAGGTCTCTATTCCTTGGGAGAGACCCCCTGCTTCTCCACCCAAGCACAGAGGTAGCATGTGTGTCCCAACCCGCCTGGTAGGCAGGAGTGGCCCTGCACCTGCAGGCAATATGAGCACCTTTTCCAGGCCCAGCCCTCACGACCCCCGCAAGTCCCCCTTCCCCCGCACCATCTTCCATGCTCTCTCTCCTTCACTGGCAGGTTGGAGCAGATAAGCACATTGACCCCAGAAGCCACATGGAGATGGCAGAGCCACAGATGGAAGGAATCTGGGTCCTTAGTTCCTGCCAATCAGGACTCCTGCTTTTAACTTTAGGTGAGCAAAGGATTAAACTACTACTAAGTTATGTTAGTGTTTATCTCTTTAACAGGTAGCATCACCTAATTAACATAATTTATTTGCAAAATGGGAATATTATTATGAGAATTAAACAGCAAGAGTACATAGCACATAGTAACTATTCAAAAAAGAGTAGTTGTCATTGTAAGCTATTTCTACTAAATTCAAATTTAGTTGCCCTCTCTGGTAAATTTGATCTTTCCTTTAAGACTCATAGTTCTATTGGGAAGTCATATATCCAGCCCCTTTACGTGCCATAAAATAATTTAGCACCATATAAAATGCTTCCTCATCTTTTTCATGTCTCCATTGAAAATCTACACACATTTGAGAGGGCAAGGACCCTGCTATACAGTCTTCTGTAACCTGTAACACTGCTAAAGCTTGATGACTGACTGCCTGTCCCCTCTGTGTGGGGCAGGAGCCCAGGATCCAGTGATAGAGCCACGGGTAACCATCCTGATGG